AACTTATTGAATTTCCTATATTTAAAGGAGGTAATAATAACTTTGTAACTTGGTTTGAAGCTTTTAAAAGAGTATGTGAAGCTAACAATATTAGTGCAGCTCCTCGCAAGCTTGAACTTGTTCCTAATTTTCTAAAAGGAACTGCTTTAGTTTGGTATAATAAGAATAAGAAAAACATTCGATATTGGAACTATTATCACTCTGATGAAACAATACGTCAGTCTTTTAAATATCGATTTGAACAACAATTTAGAAGTCTATATAGAGTTAATCAATAGTTTTATTTCTTGAAAAATCGAAAACAAAAACTAGGTGAAATAGTTGAATCGTATAATACATCTTTAGAGGAATTATAGCATAAAGTTAACTCAAGGAATACTTATCTTGATGAGGATAATAAGAGGCAATTTATTGATGGATTACATCAGAAATTCCATATTCTAGTCAAATCTGCAATACCTAGAGATCATGATGAAGCTTTTGAAAAAGCTAAAGCTATTGCAGTAGCTTTTTCGAAAGGAAGTAAACTTTCTTTATATTCTCTATTACCTAAAATTCATCAACCTCAATATTATAATAATTATAATTATAATTCTACTTCTGCTAATTTTGATAAAGTGATAAATACTAAACTTTTAACAGCAGTACAACAAACATTAGAAAAATTAGACAAAGCAAAAACAACTATACAATCTACAACATCAAGTTCAAATTATTATAATAATAATAATAATCACAATGATCAAAATAACTAAAACAATAATTATAACAACAACAACTAAAAAAATAATTTCAACTCTAGGCCAAGAAATAATACTTGTGATAGGTGCAATAAAGTTAGATACTTTGCTACTGAATGTAGAGTTCCAACATGCACTAATTGCAACAGGATTGAATATTTAAATAGAAATTGTCAACTCAATTAAAATTGGAAGAATAATAATAATTATCATCCTAATAATAATAGGAATTCTAACTAACAACTTAATAATAATAATTATCAAAATCAAAATAATATTCCAAATCAACAAAATAATCAACAAAATAATCAACAAAATAATCAACAAAATAACCAACAAAATCAACAACCTTCTAATCAAAATAACAATAATCAAGGTCTTAACAATAATCAATGTCAAAATTTAAACTAAATAGAATATCTCCTAAGGGTGAGCATGTCATTAAATTAAATCCCTCTAACTATATTAATGAAATATTAGGAGAAGTAAATGAGGTTTTAAACAAGGATGATACTTATATGGACTATATAAATATATTTGATGATGATAATAATATAAATACTCCAACTATAAATAACAAGAACAATAATATATATCTTAATTATAATCTCTGGCTTGAGGATGAAAATTTTGAAACCATTGAAATTAAAGGATTAAATATTGAATTTGAACAACAAAATGAAAACCAAAATAACAATCAAGTTGAGAATGCTCTTTTTGCTACAGTAATAATCTTTGGACAAGAAATAAATGTTCTTATTAATACAGGTTCTAAAGGATGTGTAATTTCTAAACCATTCTTGGATAAACTTGGAAAACAAATTGATGCCCCTAGTAATGTTCGAGTAATTGATATTACAGGAAATAGATCTATTCCATTAGGAAAAGTAAATCAAGTTCTAGTCAAAATAGGAACTGTTGAAACAACAATTGATATGATAGTAACTGAGTCTAGGGAATATAATGTAGTTCTAGAAAATGAATATTTGGATAAAATCTAAGCAGTAATTGACTTTCAGTTAGGTCTAATGTCTCTTGGATTAGATGACAACTCTGAATATATTCCAATAACTTGTTGGAATAAAATTAAAAATGCAAACCAATTCTATTCTATTAAATTCAAACAAATATTTGATAATAACTTTGAATTGGAACTTGAAGATGATGATAATTATAATGATACAAATAGATACTTCATTACTAAAATTAAAGTCAATTACAACTTTACTTAAATTAATAATAACATGGTTTTAAATATTCGAGTAGAAAATATTGAAGACAAACATAATAATTATAATGATATATTTAGGATAATTAAACTAGAAATTGAGGAAATTTCTAACAAGCAACAAAAACATATTGAAATTCCTATTTCTGAAAACAAAACTACATATATTAGAAATAACTTGAACAATGAACAAACTACAAAAATATCTAATTTTCTAAAAGAAAATAATGATATTTTTGCTATTAAGTTCTCTGAACTTAAACAAACAAATATAGTTTATCATACTATTAACACTGACAATAATTATCCTATTAAACAACGATTTTATTGAGTTACTTCAAATAAACAACAACATATTAAAGAAGAAATTGACAAAATACTAGAGGATGGAATAATCCAAAAATCAATAAGTCCTTGGAGTTTTCTAGTTGTACTCGTTAAAAAGAAAAATAAAAAACTTTAGTTTTGTATTGACTATAGAAAACTAAACTCTATAACCAAAAAGGATACTTACCCTTTACCTAGGATTGATAAAATGTTGGATAACTTAAACAAAGCAAAATAGTTTACTTCTCTTGATTTAACTTCTAAATATTGGCAAATTGAAGTCAAAGAGGAAGACAAGAAAAAAATAGCATTCTTTACAAAATTTGGGCTTTATGAATTTAATGTAATACCTTTTGAACTTTGTAATGCACTCTCTATATTTCAAAAGTTAATGAACATAGTTCTTGAACCAGTACTTTGGAAATATGCTATAGTATATATTGATGATGTAAATATATATTCTGAATCATTTGAACAGCATATCCAATATTTGAATAAGGTCTTTAACTTAATTAAAGCAGCAAACTTAAGGGTTAATCCTGAAAAATGTCATTTTTGTACAAATAAAATACAATTTTTAGGACATATAATAGGAAGCAAAAGAATTAAACCTGATCCCCAAAAGGTTGACAAACTTAAAAATTTACCTTCTCCTAAAAATCTAATACAACTACATGTATTTATTGGACTAGTATCATACTATCGAAGGTTTATTGAAGGGTTTTCTAAAAAGCAGCTTCACTAAACAAATTATTACAAAAGGATGTAGAATTTAAATAGACTCAGGAATGTGATGATGTATTTAACTAGCTAAAACAAAGTTTAATTACACCACCTATTCTGCAATATCCTGACTATAATGAACTATTTATCCTCTTTATAGATGTATCTTATCAAGACTTAGATACAGTACTATCTCAAGTCAAGGATAATAAGAAATATGCAATTGCATATGCAAGTAGAACATTATCAAAAGCTAAAGCTAACTATAGTACTGTTGAATTGGAATGTTTAGCAGTAATATGAGCAGTAAATTATTTTTGATATTATATTTTTGGAATGAGATTTACTCTAATAACTAATCACAAAGCATTACAATAGCTATTAAACTCATATACAATTAATGATAACAAAAAGATAACTCGATAGCAGTTAACTCTACAGAAATACCAATATGATATAAAATATCATGCTGGTAAACAGAATAACAATACTGATTTCTTTTTATGTTTATCTGAATATTTAAAGGATAATGGATAAACAACTATATCAAACAATTTATAACTTTCTTACAACTCTCGAATACCTTATAGACTATTCTAATTTAGAAAAATCTCACTTATAAAAAGAAGTTAAAAATTATTTTGTTAAAAACAATATTTTATTTAAAAGAAACAAGAATGAGCCTCAACATGTAATCAAACCTAATCAAAAACATATAATACTCTACTCTCTACATGATGAACAAGGAATATATCTAGAAATTAGCTCAATTTATAACAAAATTAAGGAATGATATTTTTGGCCTAATATGTATAATGATATTAAACAATATATTCAAACTTGTGATATATACCAATGTCGTGGACATGAAATTATTAGGCAGGATCTAATTCCTATTCAAGTAAAAGCCCTATTTTATAGGATTAGAATAGATATTAAAGAACCTTTACCAATAACTAGACAAGGCAACTGATATATTATAGTTGCTATGGATTACTTAACTAAATGGCCTGAAGCTAAAGCAGTAAGTGATATTAAAGCTGCTACTGTTGCTAATTTTATCTATAAGAAAATAATCTGTAGATATAGAACATCTACAATTCTACAATCTGATCAAGGATCTAATTTTATGAGTGAAGTTATACAATACTTATGTCAAAAATTTCAAATTAAATATCATAAATCATCTGCTTACTAACCTCAAACTAATGGAATAGTTGAACATATTAACTAAACAATAGGTGAAGCATTAGCAAAAATAATAAGCTACAAATACAAGAAATAGGATGAAATTCTACTCTCATTATTACTAGTTTATCGAACAACAAAGCACTCTACTATAAAATTCTCTCTATTCTCTCTAGTATATGGAAGGAAAGCTAAACTCCCTATTGAAACAATAGTTAAAACTTATTATGATGATAGTGAAACTGAAACAGCTCTAATTAAACGAATATTTGAAATTAAGAATATCCTTCTAAAACAACAACATAAAACTCTCTATAATATACAGGAAGCTCAAATTACTCAAAAAGAAAAATATGACAAAAATATTAAAATTAACAAACTAAAAATAGATGACAAAGTTTTAGTTACAAAATCTCAATCTTAAAAACATTTTCTCAGCAAAATTAGAGGAACAATTTATAGGATCATATATCATCTATGATATTTTACCATTAGGAGTTTATAAACTTCAAACATTTGATAGTAAAAAAGTTAAGGATCCTATATATGGGAATAGATTAAAATTATACTTTGATTAATCAATTAGTGACCTACCTGTATTACAAATTATTATATCACAAACTAATAATAATCAGTAGATCGTATTCTTTAAATTTTTATAAATATAGCTTATACCCCTCAAAAAATTTACAAAAATCCTATATCTTAAAAACTTTATTATTCTTCTTCCTTTAAAAAATTTTCTTATTTTTCTAATTAATTTTCTTTAATCTTAATATTTATACTATTATATCATGAATAATTTTTGGGATGAAATTAATGTTCTAAATATTAATGAAATTTATAATCCTTTACAAAATTTTTTAGATAATTGGAATATCTTTACAGAAAATACCAATGAGGCTTTGGATAATTTGGGAACTAATAATGAAAATATATCTTTAAGTTTACAATATGAAACTACTCAAAATGAAGTACCTAATGAGCAGCAAAATTTGAACATGGATGAAAACTTTGAAAATAGTTCTGATGAAAGCTCTTCTGATGAAAATAATGAACAATCAATAATTGATAAAATCAAAAAAGACTTACAACATGAAGTTAATAATAATACTGAATTTACTTTACTTTTTGAAGGCTACAAGGATTATAAAACCTTCAAAAATATTGTCTATAAAATTGAACAACTTGAAAAATGTAAAGGTGTCAACAAGCAAAGGTTGGAAATAGCTTACTATCTTGGTGAACTAAGGACCAAAAACCAACTTAATAATAAGTTTATTCGAAAAATAAGGAATAAACTAATAGTAAAGTTCAACAAATCCAAATCTGCAAAAATTTAGAGGTATTCACTTTGAATATACAAAATTTATACAAAATTTGGTTTAGGACAACTTTACAAAGCAAAATTTATTAGTACCCAACTTATTGAAAAACTAAAACAAACTCAATTCGATCAAATTTTAGTTTAAAAATTTTATTAAAAATTTGAAAATATTTACAACAACCCTAATTGCATTCTGCAAATTTCATCTTCCAACTCCCCTATTCTATCTCTTAATTTTTTCTTTTCTCCCTCTTGATAAACTTTATACTCATCAAATTTCTTCTGTACATGATCTAATTGATTCTCCTTTTTCTCTACACTATTTTTATAACCTATCATTATCTCATAAACTATATCTACTCCTTTTACTTCTAAAAAATTTTCATACTCCTTAAATTTCTTCTCTATCTCTCTAATCTTCTTATCTCACTCATCTTCTTCTTTATTTTTCTCTGTATTTTCTTCACCAAACTATTCATCCTATCTTTTCTTTAATTCCTCATTCTCTTGCTCCAATCTTCTAATCTCTCTACTTATTAACTCCAAATCACTTTCTAATTCTACTTTCTCTTTATCAATATCTATTAGCATTTCCTCTATCTGCTCTTCCAAACCCTCTATCATATTTCTCTCCAACTTATTTGTCTTCTCAAGCAACTCTGTATTCATAAGCTCCTTCTCTATCAAATCTCTTTTCAACTTTTTATTTTCACTATCTACTATATCACATCTTTCTCTATTATTTTTCAACCTAAACTACACTGCTTCTTTATACCTCTCTGTTAAAATAAATAACATATCTTTTTCTTTTTTTTTTCTTTTCTTTTTCTAAACATTTCCTCTTCATATCTCCACTTTTCTCTCTTTTTTAATTCATCTAACTCTTGTTTCAAAAACCTAATCTCCATATTTCTCCTTCTTATTTCATCTTCTTTTTCTTTTTTTTTTTTTTCTTTTTCAATTCTGAAGTTAAAATTTTATTTTTAAATATATTTTTATTTTTATTTTTATTTTCTTTATTTTATTATAATACCTCTTAATACTTCTATTTGGTGATCTCTCTCTTATATACTAATAACTATACTTTCTCTTGCCTATTTTCTTTAGTCAGTAAATTTAAATTTTGAATTAATTCAAAGTTAACTACTTTGAATTTCTTCCTTAAATTAAACAAACCTTAATTTTAAACATATGAAAATCTTTAATTTTATTGGTTATTTGTCAACAAATTTGAATGTTCTTAAGGAGTACATATAAAAATTTTATTATATACCTGCTTTAGTAAAGTGGTATAAATTTGGAACTATGAGGCTAGTGGTTGTGAGTTCAATACCTGCTAGTTGACAGTTAATCTACTGACAAGTTATGGTAGCAGACTAGCACTAAGTAGGATTTTTTTTTATACAAATTAATTAAATTATTTATTATTTTATTTTATTTTACTTTATTATTTTTACTTCAATATACTTTAAATATATATATTGTTTTAGAAATATTTTATTCTAATTTTATTTTTACTTTAATTTTAATTTTATTTTTCATTAAAATTATTTTTATTTTATTTTATTATCATTAATTTTAATTTTGCAGAGCAAAATTTTTTAAAGAGAGAATAGTGTTATAATATGAATTTTTAGTAGTTAAATTTTAATATTTAAATTCTATTAATTTTTTTTTTCCTTTAGCAATCATGCTAATACTTTATTAGACTTCTTAACACTATACATATTAGGAAAAATTTAAGAGGTAAATCATAATTGAAGGGTTAAAAAAACACCAAATCTTATAATAAACAAAATCAGAATTTAATATTAACTTTCTATAATACAAAAATCCAGCCAGATTACATATAAAAGTATTTTTTTTATGAAGTTAACGTTCTTTTGGCTTCTAATAAAAGTTGTAGAAATTTGTTTTCTGATTCTAATGATAATTAAATCATCAAA